ATTTTGAATTGGACACGGGAAGAATAAACGCATACTTCTCTGTCCAATTGACAGTCATTCCTCATCAGTTTTTTTAAACAAGTCATGCTGTCAGTTGCAGTCTGGAGATCCATCCATCCCTCCATTTTCCATACTGCCTGGAGCCTATCCCAGGGGACATGGGGCACAAGGCAGGGGACACACTGGACAGGGTGCCAACCCTTCACAGGGCACACTCACACACCCATTCACACACTACAGACAATTTGGAAATGCCACTCAGCCTACAACGCATGTCTTTGGACTGGGGGAGGAAACTGGAGTACCCAGAGGAAACCCCTGAAGCCTGGGGAGAACATGCAAACTCTGCGCACACAGGGCAGAGGCAGGATTCGAGCCCGCAACCCCAAAGGTTGGGGGGCAATAGTGCTAACCACTAAGCCACCCCAGACTGGAGATGGTAAATAATATGAAAAATCTCTGCAGAAAACAGCCTCTGTAGTCTCATCCTCCCTGAAATTCTATTAGCAGCAACACATGTTTTAAAGCTCCAACCAGGATTCACTGCATCTGTTCCTCTACCAGCAGAAGCTTTTGGATAATTACAGTGCACTCAACTAGAGCTATGTGGGCACATAAACTCAAACGATGCATTGTGATGAGGTGTGTTTTTTTTTTTAGAAAGGTAAATGTGACACCTCATCATTCCGCTATGCAAAATAAGCAAACTGTGTGGAAACTGTGTGACTGAATTTATTAACTATAGCAAAATGACAAATTTCTTTTTTCATGCCAAGATCCTATTGAATTCTCAAATCTGATTGGTCAGAATGTTTTGATTCATTTTCTAGGACAGCAGATCTGGCTGCGAGGCAAATCACAGGTTTATATTAATGCTCTTGTTCTAATACATTATCATTTCTATAGTGATGACGTACACAGAGGCTTAAAAACCCAAGGAAATGTATAATTGTTGATCTGGTGAAGCTTTCTATAACGAGACGTTTATTTTGCATCTATGGAAGGAGTCTCCAGTCTCAGAAAAGGGCGTGGTGAGGGAACGACTGATGAAACATAAGTGAAACTTGTTTCGCAAATATTCCACAACATTAAAAGTAACTATAATTGGATAAATAGAACAACATTTTGATTTTTAATTTAAAAACATTGTTATCATTTGCAAATTGCGAATGCTTTTTATAGGTAAAGCTGTAACTTTTCAGGACTGTAACTTTTCAGGACCCTTCAGGACAGAGGAAACTTAATGGTTTCTCAGACAACTTGTGGTTTTTTTTTTTGTTGTTTGTTTTGTTTTGTTTTTTTGTAAAAATGCGAACTGAAATGAAATGATTTCTTTAATAAAAGCATTTTAATCAGACTTTTTGTTAGGATTTTAACTCAAATTTGTCTAAGATTAATATATTTGGCAATAAAAGAGTGAAAACAACAGGATAGCTATAAAATATCAGCTGTGTTTTTTCTCTTAACAACTTTTTTTGCATGACAAAAATAATAGTTTTAGACAAGCATTAAAATTAGCAAAGAGTTTATATCGTATGTAATTAAAGACATCTCATTTACTTAGTATGGTTTAAAAATAGGGGAAGCATCTGATGTATATCTAACAGTGATGCACATCTCTCTCTCTCTGTATCTGTAGAATATCTCTGTGATCAGTCTGAACAAAGCTTTATTTATCCATTCATATGCTGGCAACAAATTGTTCTGCAATTGCTAAAGACAACTGAGTACAACCCAGCCTTAAGCAGTGGTTTATGATCTTCAGTTTGTGCATTAGCTATATGAATAGATGTTTGAACTGTGAGCCCTGTTCTGTCAGTCAGCTGACAGCTGCTTAGCACAGATTAAGCACTAATGAAGTGATACAAACGGGGGAAGATAAAGGGTTATGTAATACACAGAGGCTGGCTCAGAATTGAACACTACCCACCAAATCCAGATTAATTCTGTGTAGGGGGAGTGAGACAGATGGGGGTGTTTAAAGGCAGGAGAAAGAATAAGGGGAAAATGATATTTCTGAATATTTGCAACATTTTATCTTTTGGATATGGATGTGATTTTATTAAAATCATGCCACAAAGTGTCTTAGGGGAAGAATTGCTGGATGAAAATGTTGCAATGCCAAAAGTGACAGGAAAGGTTACAAGGCGTTGGCGAGAGTCATGGGATGACAATGCGTCGGAGCTGCTGAGATGATTCAGACATGAAGAGATAAACAGGGGATTCAGAAAGGATGGAAAGACAATAACTGCTGCTTAAAGGAGCAGTTTGCAAATTTTATGGCCCTCTGCTGCCTGAGAGGTGATTCATAATTGCAATAATTGAAACTGCCTTCTAAACGTAGCTATTTAAGGAAATGTGTCAGAGCTGGGGGTGGAGCTAGTTTCTGGGCCAGAAATATGTAAGCAGAAACCTAAAATGAAGAAAGTAGGAAGCTCTGTTACATATCGATACTGCAAATCACAGTTTTCTAGAATATATTTAAAGATATGTAATTATTACAGGTGTAGAATCACTTCTGAATGTTTCAAAGTGCATCTTTAAGGCACTAGTGACCAGCTAGATATGAGTGTGTAATTAGCTCACTACTAGACTTACAGTAGGCCTCCAGTAAATCTGTGGTGCTCAAAGTGGGCTCTGTGAAGAATAGCCAGTGGCATTTGTTTTATTTTGTTAGAGTGGTGAAATTCACAACTGGACACTTGAATTAAATGAGTTTAATCCAGAGTTTCCCAACAGAAAAATAATTCTATTATGTATGAGTAATGTCAACTCTATAGATGGAAAACAGGAACAAAAAGCTCCAATAAATATCCAGAATATTATTGTGGACTGTAGAATGTGTGCTGAGGGGTCCATGGAATTTTCCTGTAGAGCTAAAGAGGTCTGCAAGAAGTTTCAGAACCTCTGGTCTAAATCAATAGTAAAGTTAAAACTCTAGAGGTTTCCAGAGGTTTTTAATTTGGAGAGAAGGCCTTGTCAGTCAAATGGTGCCATCTAATGGACATGTATACATAGGTGAAGGTGATGAAGGTCCACTGATGCAGACAACTGAAGCTTGAAGTTGTAAAAATGTTATAAAAAATGTTATTTATATTGAGATCTTTATGTAATTTATTTGTGCTGATTTATACTGTTAAAAGCATGTTTGTGCCGGTTTGGTTTATGAGATCTTTTAGCCTTGTACGTCTTTTTTTTTTAATTGAGTAACAATACATACATATGCACTAAATGGCCAAAAGTTTGTGGAAACCTGACCATCACACTCATATGTGCTTGTTGAACATCCCATTCCAGATTTAGTCCTCCTTTACTGCTATAATAAGCTCCACTCTTCTGGGAAGGCTTTGCACTAGATTTTGGAGCGTGACCGTGGGGATTTTGTTCATGCAGCTACAAGGGCATTAGTGAGGTCAGGCGCTGATGTCGGGTGAGGAGGCCTGGGGTGCAGTCGGTGTTCCAGTTCATCCCAAAGGTGTTCAGTGGGGTTGAGTTCAGGGCTCTGTGCAAAACACTAGAGTTCTTCCTGTCCAGTCTTGGCAAACCATGTGTTCATGGAGCTCACTTTGTGCACAGGGGCATTGTCATGCTGGAACAGGTTTGAGCCTCTTAGCTCCAGTGAAGGGAAATTGTAAAGCTACAGCATACAAAGACATTCTATACAATTGTGTGCTTCAGACAGTTTGGAGAAGATACATACATGGGAGTGATGTTCAGGTGTGCACAAACTTTTTTGGTCATATAGTGTACATACAAATTGCTTCATGATAAGAATCTACGTGTACTCTCATTACTGTACTTGAGTACATGGTTCACTGTAACAATACTGTTTTAAGTATAATTAACTCCATTTTATAATTAACTCATCAAAATTAAGCAGTTTCCTGACAAAACGCTACACTTCAGGTGCCAAATTCTTTAGTCAGCAGCAGCAATGTCTGAGACAGTGGAGACAGGCGAGCAATTTATCAGATATCTATTATTTTGATAAATAATAATAAAATTGATATTTATTTATCAATTTTAATTGCTCCAAAGGAAAAAGTATGATAATGAGCTTCAAATTATGCAAGTCATAGAGATATTGGCCTTTCACAGCTCCAATCTGCGGAAACGTGTGGTTAGCCATGAATTAACATGAGCTAGCTAACGAACCTAGCAAGCTACTGAAACCCCAACAGCCAGCTAACGTTACTTTTCTTTATATCCCCTTGATAATGGAGATGGTGTTCACTTCAGCATAGCTTAATTGGCTAGTTAACATAACTGTTTGAAAATTTGATTCCTTAGATATAGAACATTTTTGGATTATTTTTAGACATTTTTTTAAAAAGTCATTTGTAAAGTAATTACTCAAGCAGTTTTTCACCACATGACTTATTTGCTCTTACTTGAGTAATTTTCCTGATGATTTACTATTCTTCATTACTACAGTAGCAGTACTTTGAATAAAGTCAGTGTGTGTGTGCTTCATGCTGTACTGTCTCACACACTCTCCCATACATATGAAAAGGTTGTTTTGTGTGTGTGTGTGTGTGTGCGTGTGTGTGTGTGCTTCATGCTGTACTGTCTCACACATTCTCCCATACATATTAATTTTTTTTTTTGCGAGTGTGTGTGTGTGTGTGTGTGTGTGTGTCTGCTTCTGGGTACAATGTGTTTTAGGTGATACACAATAACTGCTATAGAGCTACTACTGGCCCTAAACCATCAGCTACACATGGTAGAGTGGATATGATCCCAATTTTCTTCTAAACTGGGACACATGACCAAAAAATATTTGTTCTATTATACATATGATAATGACAGTTATCCTTCTTTCATCTTCAGTAACTGCTTTATCCTGGTCAGGGTTGTGTTGGATCTGGAACACCGGGTGCGAGGTGGGAAAACTCCCTGGATGAGACAGCATAGCCAATCCAGAAGGTTGGAGGAAACTGGAGAACCTGGAGGAAACCCATGCAGACACAGGGAGAACATGTGAAACTTCACACACACAGTAATCAAGCTCAGGATTGAACTGAGGATGCTGTAGCAGTAATTCAGCAATGCTACCTGCTGAACCACTATACCACTATAATGATAAATAGTTGCAGCAGACTAAAATAAAAAAAAAAAAAAAATACAAGGCACAAACAGACAAAAAAATAAAGAGTAGTTTTTACATCTACACTCTGAATGTTGCAGGTTTGGTGTAGAAGGCCCAGAGAGCTCTCTGTTCTTTATGTTAAATTCAGCACAGAATTTATGTCTAGCCTCGGGTGTAACACACACTAAGTTCAGGCTGAGCAGCCAAGGCAGAAACGTAGAATGACTTTACAGAGAGTTGTACAGACTGCATTTCCTGAGGATTTAGACACTAACCATCATGTAGACAGATAAAGCACCAGTTTGTTTTCTAAAATGCAGGAGATCTCAAGTGCAGCACTCGAGAGTCACTTGAGAAGAGAACTCCTGCAAAACAATGCTTCAAGACAAACAAATTACATAAATGCCATGATATAACCTGACAAATAACACCTCTGTATTAAGAACAGTCCAGGAAAAACAGCTTTCAATACCAAGAACTTTACATAAACCACACTAATTTCACACATAAAGGAAAGAAAACACTTTCTGTCTTGGAATCAGCACTGGAGTGCACTATACTATAACAAAGCAAACACTGTTGATAGTATGGTGCTCACTTGGGCTCTGATTTACTGATGATGCATACACAATTACCTAAAGTGCAGACACAAATAATGATCATGTTGTGGGTGATTTACAAAGAATAACTGCATAAGTTACGTCAAACTAGAAGGAAAAAACAATATTCAAATACGTTTTTGCAAACTTATGTGGCTAATTGCTTACTCCAAACTATGAAAGTGTGTATAAGTTTGTTATCTGGTGCTTAAATTATGCCGTATAACCATTCTACTTCATTCCTTACACCTTTTATTTAGGGAATAAACATGACTGGGCATGCTTTTATAGGAAAATAATCAAGGACAGGGTGGTGCGATGTGGGCCACTGTGTGTGAGGAGTTTCTCATGTTCTCCTAGTGTTGGTTTGGGTTTCCTCTGGGTTCTCTGGTTACTATCCACTGCTCAAAAACATGCAGGTAGACAGATTCACTACACTAAATTGTCCCTAAGTGTGAATGAGTGTGTGAATGTGTGTGTGCATGGTGCCTTGAGATGGACTGGAGTAAATTCTCCAGCCTTGCGCCCAGTGTTGCTGTAGGCTCTGGATACACAGCGGCCCTGACCAGGATAAAAAAGGATGCTGAAGACGAATGAATGATGCTTTGTGAAAAAGTAAAGTGTTAATAGCTGTATAAAAATAAAATTGAACTGAATTTACTAACAAAGCTGATTTCTTATTATTTTCCATAATCTAATGTTCAGAACTTGGTTACTGTAGGCTATTAAATGGCTTATTTGTAGTGCTTTCAATATGTACAGTATATGTATCAAAAGTTAGTGGACCCCTGACCATCACACCCATATGTGGTTCTTCCTCAAACTGTTGCCACAAATTTGGAAGCATACAATTGTATAGAATGTCTTTGTATGCTGTAGCGTTACAATTTCCCTTCACTGGAACTAAGAGGCTCAAACCTGTTCCAGCATGACGATGCTCCTGTGCACAAAGCGAGCTCCATGAAGACGTGGTGTGTGAAGGTTGGAGTGAAAGAACTCGAGTGTCTTGCACAGAGTCCTGACCTCAACCCCACTGAGCATCTTTGGGATGAACTGGAACACCGACTGCACCCCAGACCTCCTCACCAACATCTGTGCCTGACCTCACTAATGCTCTTGTAGCTGAATGAACACAAATCCCCACAGCCACGCTTCAAACTCTAGTGCAAATCCTTCCCAGAAGAATGGAGCTTAACAGGGAATAAATCTGAAATGGGATGTTCAGCAAGCATATATGGGTGTGATGGTCAGGTGTGCACAAACTTTTGGCCATATAGTGTATGTTAGTGTTAGTGTTAGTGTTAGTATTTACATTTTATTAGATCCTGATGGTTACAGACTGAAAACTCTCTTATCAGCAGTGATATTATTACATAATATGCAGTAAGATACATAGCTGATGCATGGGCTCGATCCAAAATGGCTCCCTTTTGGACTTAGGGAGCCTACTGCATACATTAATTCATGCCCTACTCTGTGCACTTCTGTAGGGAACAGGAGGCGGTTTGAGACTGAGCCGGGGTATTAATATCTGCACTGAGCTTGGGGCGGGTGATATCTGCTTGTACGTGTAGGATGGGAGTGTAACACATGCAGCAGGGAAGAGCAAACTTTCAATGAGTTTTAATATTATTATTATTATTTTTAATTAATAATTACAGCTGTGCACTTGTTTACAACCCGGATCAGTTCTCGCGCTTGGATGAAGGCGCCATGCGCGCGGACCTGCTCGCGCTGCTGTGTGTCCAGCTGCTGGGCGCGTGCAGCACAGAGGCAGCAGTCAGGGGGAGAAATCTTCACACCTGCAGCCAGCACAGGTAAGAAGCCCATCACACACACACACACACACACACACACAGATTTCATTCAGTTCAGAAATGTGTCCTGGTTAAAATATCCCAATGCATTTTTAATGCTAGACTTCCATGCTTCCACACACTGCTCTGACTCCTCTTAATCTGGTTTATAAGACAGTCAAAGTTACCTAGATTTTTTTTTTCTCAAGTGTGTGTTCACATTTCTTTAAAATGACAGTGAATTGGCTTCATGCATAATGTCCACACTTAGGGCCAGTCAGTTTTTTTTTTTTTTTTAGTTGACATTCAGTATCAAATAAACATTTCCATCAGATGTATTTCAGATACTGTATGTATATATCATATATCTGTGTTTACCATATATCTCAGAAATATGCACATAAGAAAGAAAGAACAAAAGAAAGAAAAACTATGTACAAGTAGGGAGTGATCACTGTACATCTGTACATCATTAATCACTGACTTGTGAAAATAAAATCAGGCCTGTATTTCCCCGTATGAAGCAAATGGTTCCAGTTTATGATTGACAAATGCTGTTATCGTTTCCATTTTGTAAAAATCCATTATAAATTGCATCCATGTATTTAGAGTTGGGCTCTCCTGTGACAACCATTTCCTGGTCAGACTCTTTTTACCAGCCACCAGCAGTATATTCATTAAATATTTATCTCTTTTCACCCATTCTTGAGGTATATATCCAGAATATATGGCTTTCTTTCTAGGGCCATTACACATTTAAAAATATCTTGTAGTGCAACGTGTATCCCTCTCCAATAATCATTGAGAACAGGGCAGTTTCAGAAGTTAATGATTTGCATTTTGGTTTCCACAGTTTCTCTAGCAAACACGGAGGTTACTATTATAGTGGGATTTCTGAGAGGGTGTAAAAAAATATAATATAGCCAAACTCCCTCCATTTCTGTGAACTGGTGCACTGCCACTGATATCTCCATATTGTTGTCTATTCTTCCTCAGATATAATTATCCCACCTTCCTTCTCCCGTTTTGTTTTAATGTAAGATTTCAAATGTGTTTTAAGATTTAACAGACCTTTATATATACATGTAATAATTCTACTACTTATCTGAGGTGTATGCTTTTCTAGACATTTCTCATACACGTGCTTGCCTCTGTTACATTTTTTCATCTTCATATTCACATAATGTCGCAGCTGCAGAAAAGTCAGGTAGTTTTTATTAAAATATAAGATGTAAGTGACCTCTGAATCACTTGAGACCATGACATAACTCATATTATGAATCTTATGATCCTGATTTCTGCTGCTCTCAAAACTTCAGATTAAGTAAAAAGAGAAAAAAAAAATTGTGCCAGACTCCTATGAACACCTTGATTGTTTTTTTTAATTGAAGTTTTTTATTGTTGTTGTTGTTGTTGTTTTAACTTCAGAAATCAGCTGCATCATGTACATATATTGTACTTGTCAATAATATTGCTATATTTTATTTACAGAATGATATTTTCTATCATTTTGGTAATTGACGTTATATATTTTAGACCTGAATGTTAACTGTTTTTGTTTATGAACAAAATTCATGTAAAAGGTTTAATCCTTTTTATGCATAGTATACCTAAACATGGACAATCCACTTACTTTTTAATATGTGATATTTTGAAAAAATAAAAATGCAGTTAGAAGTTAAAAATGGAAAGAATCTGGATATGTTTTAAAATAATTTATGTATGAAAGGGTTAAAGGAGCACATAGTATATAGAGTGTTCTGTGCAAAGGAAATACTGTCAGCTTTAAAACTGAAAACTTACCACTATTCCTTACAGAGCTTTTTCTTTCTTTTTCTTGCATATTTTTCAAAATTGCAAAGTCACAGTGAGCTGAGTTCTTTTTATTATAGAACAGTAGAGGTCTTAGCATTAACAAATCATCTATTTATCCAGTTATTCTAAATGATAGAACTGAGATGCTCATTATTTTGTTTTCATTGTACAAACTTATGCAATATGAACATTTTATTCCAAGACAAAGATGTTACACACTTACGTACAGTAATTAATAATAACAAATAAACTGTGCATGTAACTTTTACTAGTGTTTTAACTAAAACAGACGAGTGGCAGCTTTTTCCCCCCAAGAACCTGTTGGTTACTTTAAAGCTACCTTCCTTTTTTTCATTCCTCGTTCGTTCCTTCTTTTCTTATTTCTTTGCCCATCTACGGGAAATGTCTTTTATGTAGCAGAATCATACAACTGAGGGTTGTACTATAGTAGCTTTAGAAAGTTAGAAGCATTAATCATTCAGTAAATCTTTGCGGGAACCCTGTTTCTAAAAGTGCATGCAATTTGGTGTGTGTGTGTGTGTGTGTGTGTGTTTTTTTTCAAATGTCTTCTGATTGGACCAGTGGTACACTGTGTGTGGATGCCGTTATTGCAGTAGCCGTTGCAGTAATAATGAAAGTTCTTGGTCCAACGCTGTAGGTTTTGTGGAAATGAGCTTATGAAAATGTGAGTTTAGTGACAGCTGAGGGTGAAGGTTAATCTGGGCCGATGTATGATTGTTATTGATCAGAGAGACAAGAAGGATGAAGGTTACAAATGATGC